TGACAGAGTGTCATGGTCATCATTTCAGGTGTTAGTGGCAAGCTTCACATCACGCCGCCACTCCCCTCTGACGGCTGCCCTCTTCGTGCGTTCATGTAATGATGATAAGCCATTCATACTAGATGATAATTCCACTGCTATCCTAAGTTGTATTGTAATTTGTTAGCCCCAGTGGGAGGGCGTGTAGGAGTCCGCAAGGATTGATTTAAAAGACGAAAAGTCTATTCCTACTCTTCCATAGAGAATTCGAACTATCAGTTTGTGGTTTTTATGAACTTCAGTAGCCATGTATGTTAATCTGTAATTATACCTAGTCTTGCCATAAATACTGAGACAAAGGAAAAAAAAATTATATTGCAAATAACATTTATTACTTTTACAGTGTGTTAGTTTAGCACTTATGTATAAAACAATTTAAAGTATAAAAAGCTTATTCGAAGTGGTCTCCATTGGCTACAATACAGTCCTTTAAACGTTGAGGCCAGTTATCAATAGAAGCACGCACTCTTTCCATGGGAAAATTTTTCACTGCCAATCGTACGGATTGTTTTAGGGATTCCAATTATCATGGCGTTTAGAGCAAGCCGTACTCTCTAAAACTGATCATAAATCATAATCCAGCGGGTTAATATCGGGACTAGACGACAGCCAGCTTCAGCTCTGATGAAGTCCGAAACGTTCGTTTCCAACCAAGACTGCGTAGACCGAGCTTTATGACCTGATGCCGATGTTTTGATACCTTTTTCACAAAAGTATGGCTCAGTCACTCCTTCATAGCTAATACCCCACCAAATCATCACTGAAGTCGGATAGTGCCCACGTTGCACTCTGTTGGGACGATTGGGAAGCTTCCTTAGAGCTTTGAGCATAAATACGGTCATTTTGTTTGTTAAAATGTTGCTCAATTACAAAAATTTTCTCATCCGTAAACAAAATTTTTCTATGACCTCCCTTTGCGTACCTCTTAAGTAGTTGTTTCGATTTTACCATCCTATTCTCTTTTAAATTATCAGTTAAGAAATGACCAGTACGTCTCTTATAGGCTGCAAGTCCTAAGTCATCTTTTAAAATACGCGACATGGTTCTAGGTTCTATCTTCATCTCCCGAGATAAAATCTTTTGCTTTCGGACAGGATTTCTTCGAATTCTTTCCCTTACTGCTTTGACCACCTTTTTCGTACGAACACTATGTGGACGGCCAGATCTTTTTCTGTTACAAACAGAGGAGGTCTCATTGCACCTATTAATAGCCCGGTACACAAACATTTTACTAATACCAAGCGTATGGCGAGTTTTAAAAATTGCATTTGGCTCCATACCTACTTTGTGTAATGTAATCACAGCGATTCGGTCTCTTTATCACCCTACTCCATTTTAATATCGCAAAATATTGTACAATGTATTGGCGCCAAAATGAGAAAACTCAATGAGCAATCATATAAAAGTGACAGATTCCAAATTCAAATGTAATGTTTTGTTTATTTTTAATTGTAACAGTATTTATGGCCAGACTAAGTATATAAATATAATAAAATAGTCTTAACATAATTTTCACTTAGCCTAATACTTGAGGATCGCCAGAATAAAACGAAGCTTGTTATTCAAGCGTATTTTCGTAATTTATAAACTATATACAATATGTAAAGAATAACCTACATTGTCTAATACTCTTTAGTTTTCTAAAAAGGATTTTTCTTGAATGTCACTCAATTAAGTCTGACATTCAGTAAAAAGAAAGTTCAGTTTGTTTAACATATTAATTTTATTAGATTAACGGCTTTAAATGTTGTTTCTTATTATACATATAACAGAAAACGCAATTAAGCCTTTTATTGTTTATTAATTCTAAAGTATATACCCAATATCAATAAATATATACTTCTATACTTATTTCAGTATGGCAATCGAGTTTTTTACTTATCTATTGTATATTCTGTGCTCATCACACTCGACTACAGAGGCACGAATATTTCAAACACGTAGATATACAATTAACCGGACAAAGGGACTACACGTAAGCTGCCCTGATTACTGTCAAAAGAAAACTGCGGGCGGCACGTAAGAACACATTATTTCAAGGCATTACGTTGTAATAGCGAAATTAGGTACACGGTAATTACTGTAATACAGAATTGCAGGAGTCCTGACACGTCATTACACGGAATTACCGTTTATTTTTGTGCCCAAAGTAATGTGGCGTCACGCGAGCTTTATTCGATTCGCAAAAAGGTATTGTTTAAATTTTCTTGAAGTAACAACTTCTTTGGCATCGTTGTGAATTTGAAACTCGTCAAAAGAAGCGTCAAAAAAGAAAGTGTGCTTCTCTCGTTTCTAAAATCTATGTTTAAACATATTTAAGATCTATAAGCTTCTAATTTTATTATTCGTTATTATTCCCATTAAGATTCCAATAAGTTGCTTTGTAAAATCAAAGTATTTTATTTGTTTCACTTTCACACCAAATTACTACTACCGCTACACTAAGTATCCAATAAGAACAAAGATACGACATTTATTTTTATCGTAATTTAATTCGCAATTCTGAATACAAATTAATTTCATAACTTTTTTTTTAATTCGGTAAAGCCATAAACACGAATAAGCAATCGTTTCGTTCACAAATTCACGATAAATAAAACCTTTAATAGGACAACGAACAAAACGGAAGCTAAGCGGATATGTTCTTACGACAATAACCACAACTCTGTTTGCGACCATTCCATATCACCCATCAATACTGATCAGATCATTATTTCTGTCACGACCTTCAGTTCCACCTTTAGAAATTTCGTTTGCACAGCCATCGACAACATAGACTCGGGATCCGATTAGCAGCCCAAATGCCAACATTAAAAAAAAAAGACCACGAAGTAAATTCTTTTTGGTCGAGGTCTGCTAAAAATAAACATTGCATTTATATTATTATATATAAATTTAAAGTGAATTCAAACGCATTCATTTGATAAATGAAGATAGAAAAACTGTCATTTCTCTCGTGCAGAGGAGCAAGAATTGCGTGTCATTAAGATGTTTTTATACGCATTCGGGCACGCTCGTGCGTTCTCGGTTTAATCCTATCCGCCAGTGAACGTGGAGATCAACTTCGAGTTTTATCAGCCACAAGTCAAACCAGGCCCGGTTTAATCGATCTACGATTAGACTTTTTCAAAGGAGCACCAGCTGGGGCCAATTAGAAGATTTTTTGGAAAAATTCCATTGGAATTGGTCCAGCCGTTTCTTAGTCTATAGGGATTATTAGGAGATTATACATACACAAACACAATTGTTTATGTGTAGATTTTTTTACTATTTATAGCTTGAGATATTGATCTCTTGTAAATTGATATAAAAACCGCTATTCTAGGCATCAAGCCAAATATATGTCTTCGACGTTCGAATCCAAAATATACCAATTGACTGTCGCTATCATGGTATAAAAATATACGTTTAACCAATCGCGTTTTTTTTTATTGCCCTTGCAGGCAGACGAACATACGGCCCATGAGTGGATACCGTCGCCCATGGACTTCATTAAATTTTCATACGAAACACGAATTATTCACACTAAGCTATTCTGCTACCAACAGCCACATGTTTTGGGAGACTTTTAGCTTAACTATTTCGCGTTTAGTGACTGGTTCTGTACCCAAATATCCAGTTATATTCCCGACTGGAATCGATGTGTTAATGATATTTAGAATTCGAAGTCTAAGGATACTTGTTATTATCGAACGCGCAAGACAAAACACGGCGTAATTTTTTCAACTTAATCCGTCAAATTCGTGAATGAAAAAAATACTTTATATTCAATGACAGTAAAAAAAAAGATTGGAGTTGTCTATGAAAAACATGTTTATATAATTTAATAAAACTATAAATATAAATACAAGAGCGAGTCAACGCAAGTTCACAGATAAACAAATGTTTTTTTTTTCTTGAATGACAAGAACACTGAACAAGGGAGACCGACTCCCGCTGTTTCATCGCGTTCACAATCCCCGCTAAATAATGACTTCAGTGTACACATGGCTTTAACTTTTTTGTTTGTTAATAAAGTATCGCTATTGAATACCATAGAGAATGTATAATTTTATTTATAAAGTGGTTTATGTCGTTCGATGATTATCTTTAAAATGTTTATGAGCAGAGTTACTTTGTGCAGGCTTGTGTAGTTTAGTTTTTTAGTTACGTTTTTATTACGGATTTTATGCTTTTAAATTTCAATGGGCAGTGTTTTAATGAAAAATACATATATATAGTTATTAATATTTTTACTGGTGGTAGAACCTCTTGTGAGTCCGCACGGGTAGGTACCACCACTCTGCCTATTTCTGCCGTGAAGCAGTAATGCGTTTCGGTTTGAAGGGTGGGGCACCCGTTGTAACGTAACTATACTGAGAACTTAGAACTCTTATCTCAAGGTGGGTGGCGGCATTTACGTTGTAGATGTCCATGGGCTCCGGTAACCACTTAACACCAGGGGGGCCGTAAGCTTTTCCACCAATCTAAGGAATAAAAAAATAATGTGAACGGAAGAGAGTCACATATTATTTAAAATAGGAGTAAATGACGAAATGCTAAATGCTAACTGACTATATTGGTTCGGTGATGTCACGGAGCACGGTCTGAGGCAGAGTCGGCTGACTTACGCGAAAATTCATAAATGATACGAGAAGACTCCAGATCGGGATGAATAATGACATTTCATTCCGGAGATTAAGACCCACGCCAGGTCACCGAGCCAAACGAGTTTGTTAGAATTTCTAAATATGTAGGTATATTATTCTCTTGAAAAGTTTGTAACTTCAAACTTGTATTTTTAATATACATGAAGGTCTCTTTTACTTCATTAAAAATCTTCAAAATTCATAATAAATACAATTACATTTTATGTTAACGCCGGTGATCGGGTGCAAGACTCATTTTAAAATCCCGGTTATAACACAAATCAATCATTAACATAATTAATTATATATTAATCTCGTATAGGTAATACACACCTCGTTTTATTAGAATCTACTCTCCTGCAAGCCTTTAGCGTAAGGCGGCATTGAGGAGACGAATTCGTTAACTGAAACAAAACAAAAAAAGGAAATTATAAAATGATAAAAATCTCAAAAAAGTGTGTGTAGGTTGTTACTGTCAGCTCAGCAAACATGAGTTAGCTGCTTAACGCTAAAGACCTCTTTCAAAACGTTCCTCCCGATCCATTAGCGGTGCTTTTAGGTACCACAAGCACCGGTCATCGTCCTCATTGAACCCGTCCCTTGCGACGAAGGGCTCGACGAGTGAATTAACCCATAGACACAGCCCACTGAGTTTCTCGCCAGATCTTCTCAGTGGGTCGCGTTTCCGATCCGGTGGTAGATTCTGCGAAGCACTGCTCTTGCTAGGGCCAGTGTTAGCAACACACCCGGTTTGAGCCGCGTGAGCTCACCTACACGTCAAGGAGAAGCTGAATTAGCCTTTCAAGGCTATCAGCATAGGTAAAAAAAAAAACGATATCATCCGTTTGAAGAAGACTTTGACATGGCGTGGAAAGAGCACTTTATTCCAGAAGTAACTTCTGCAGGGTCATGGATTTAAAAGGCTAGAAAAGACACGCGCCCGACATTTCAACAATGTATTGTGTCAATACTACACGGTATAAATTATCTGTGGACGCGTGTATTTGTTCTAGAACTCGCTTCCACGATGGCTTGTGCGAGAGTACTCTAGATTTGGCTACGGTACAGAAAGACTTAGCGGTTTGAAACGACTCGTGAGCCTATATTACCTTTTTTTTATTGCTTGGATGGGTGGACGAGCTCACAGCCCACCTGATGTTAAGTGGTTACTGGAGCCCATAGACATCTACAACGTAAATGCGCCACCCACCTTGAGACATAAGTTCTAAGATCTCAGTATAGTTACAACGGCTGCCCCACCCTTCAAACCGAAACGCATTACTGCTTCACGGCAGAAATAGGCAGGGCGGTGGTACCTACCCGTGCGGACTCACAAGAGGTCCTACCACCAGTACTAACCTACACTCGAAACTCAACCTTAAATGTGTGTAAAAGAGTGGATATGCGTGTCACTGTTTGTCCAAATCTACAGAAAGAAACACTAAATTACGCTTCGCAAATATACATAATTATTGTGTGCTTAGTGCGAGTTTTTTAACGTTCTCGATAGCGTAAAAGTTAACTAAAATTTGTATGGAGTTGGAACGTTTGCCTTCGTTTGCCGCTAGGGGCGCTGTTCCAAATGCATACAAGTTTTAGTTAACTTTTACGCTATCGAGAACGTTAAAAAACTCGCGTTAAGCAAGCTGTGTTTTAAATCGGGTTTGACGGTTTTGAAGCAGCTTTTGCGTTATTTCAAAGGTCTGTTTTCGTCATCAGTAATACGAAATTTTAATAATACAAAAGAAAACCGATTTCAATAAGGTATATTGAGGATATCATTAATATAGTAAGTCATTTGGATATGCGATGTATATATGTACGTAGTCAATTATGGATTACGATAACTATGTGTAATGTCAGAATTAGATTTTTTTTAAATATCTCACGAGAATGACTCTGGGTTACAAAAAAAAAAAAAAAAAATTAATCATCAAAAGCGGTTCGCCTACAGAGAGGCTTAAAGCAAAATACAGCCGAATTTATCTTCCTTTTTTCGAAGTCGGCTTACAAAACACAGACAACCGCACCGCATCGTCAAACAGCCCGAGTCAGGACGGGAGCCGCTGTGTACACATCCATTTACGAGACAAGCACTTATATGTGGTGACCATGATGAAATGAAAATACCGTACTATAAGTATTGGGAGTCCAGCCTAGTAAAAACATGCTATTTCTGTCGCATAGCAGTTCCGACGCCGCTATATATCGACCTCAGATCTAAAGTTGAGTGGCATAATTCAGGTTATGATGTCCATAGGCTCCAACAAACACTTAATACAAAGCGGTATGCCCTTGAAAGAAAACAAAAGAAAAAACAAATTGGTAGACTAAAAACCTTAATGCAGTTCTTTTTTTTTCAATCTAAAATATGAAATGATAGCCCTTAGGAGGAGTTAGATATATTCACTGACGTATCTTAATATATGGCTACAAAATATGCTATGTAATTCTGTAATTTCATTATCCGCGTTTCTAAAAGAGTTATGGTCAATTTACCCCATTATAATATACGAAAGACCAAACTTTTTATTCATAAACATGTTCCCAGGAGGCTGAAGGTTCTTCCAATGTGACTCGTTTGACATTACCGGCCGGTTTTGTACTTTACAAGACCTGGTATGTGTAAGAAACAGAACCTTATAAAACACGAAATAAGGTTGACGTTATTCATATTATTCAATGTACTTTGGAGATGGAAAGTGACCGAGTGGCCTTGAGTGAGAGTTTTTGTTTTAATAATAATAATCAAGCGTTTCACTAAGCTATGATCGGTGTTGTATTTAGACTAGGAGAGACTAGCCCCTAGTCCCTCCGAAGTGGCGAAAGAGCGGCAAAATGTAGTGTGAGACCAAAAACAATTTATTTACGTTTTTCATACCAATCATAAAATTATGCTCCGCGTCCTTAATTACTTAAATGAGAGATTACTGGTTCCCCGGAGGCCTTTCCAGTTTCACCAGGACAGGTGGGCGAGAAAAACTCAGCCAGGAGGGAAAGGATTTTCTAACAGCTGCCCGAGCGCCTCCAAAGGAGACCTAATAACTCGAAATCAGCTGTTTCGAAGTGGTTCAAAAATCGCTGCAAAAAAACGAAAACAAAACGGCTGAAACTAAGTATTGTACTTTTTGACGAAGCATGTTGCTGATAACTCTGTTTCTATAATCTGACGAAACGTGTTGCGGATAATAATATGAACTTTTAGGTTATTAAACTACCTTGCATTTTGATTCTGTTATAAATATAATCTTTCAGACTTCAGCGATCAGTAACTCTGTACTAAAAATTTGGCTGGTGTCGATAAATACCCTAACGCTTGGCCAACTACCCTGTGTATTAGAGATGATGCAGAACGAACGCGATCACCAGAACTCGTCAACTTGTTGCCCATAAAGATCTTACATTATGACAACGAATTCTCTCACATCACGACTCAAGAGTGACATAGAAGAAAGATCTTATAATAAATACAACTCGATGTGACTATTACACATTAGCTTGTCTGGCAACATATCGCCGTTGTCAAACCAAAATCAGATATGTGCACTTTTTGACATTTTTACTTTTTGACCTTTTCATATATGTAGTTCACAGCCCTATCAACCGTGTTAAAAAACTGTTATGTTTCTATAGCTTTAATATTTATCTATAGCTTTCATTTGATATATTAAAAATTCACTTTCATATAAAATTTTACACGAAAATGTTTTTACTCGTTAATTCAAAATAGAGTTTTTGCACATAGCAGATTTTCGTTTGACAGCCACGATAAGCCGATATAAAACAAGTGAAAAAATCTACATAATTCAATACGCGTTAACGGAAAATAAATTCTATAAAATTTACAAAGTCCGATCTCTTGAGTAATCTCGTCTTTTGAAATGTTAAACGTAAGATAATTGCCACACATCAGAACCTTACAAGGCACTTGTTCTGCCATCTATGTTCGAGCTTCATGCGTGGGTGTTCCGCGGAAATGTAAGAAGCAACAACGGACTGGGTTTTAGAAACATTATTTCATTGGCAAGAAACGATTTTTTGTAATACATTTTTATGTCTTGTCGGTATCTAACGTATGTTTTATCGTGTGACGCGTAATTGCGAAATAAATACCTATATTACATATACATACATTATATTGCTGACGTCCATGAGCAACGGTAGCCACTAACCATCAAATGGGCAGTATGCTCGACTGTCTACTAGGACAATAAAATAAAATAAAAAGTTTTTAATGTACTTTTATCACTGCTGAACTAGTGGTTGTGTGAGCCCTCACGGGTAGGTATCGCGGTTCTGACTATTTCTGCACTCTGACTTTACCTAATTTCAAAACAAACCTCTAAAATTTTCATAGGAACTACTGGGTTAACCCATAAAGTAAAATAAAACTATATGTACTTGATTTAACTGAATCACTAGTTTAAAGACAGAGCTCTCATTAAATCCATGGTTTATTTCACTAATTTTACAACATCCGACGTGTCAAAGAAACAAGGTTTGCGTGGTGACTATTTTAATTGTCTGTGACACGTGAAAACTATAAAAGCTTTGGTAAAAGCTTTTTGACGTACACAATAGTATTCCTAGAGAACAATTGTGAGTACGAGGTAAAGTTAAACGTGTATTAGACATTTCCACGCGGCTATAGAACTAAAACAAGTTAGACTAGTCGCTCTTCCGTGAACGTCGCTAAGTGGACGTGTTTCAAACAGGCTGTATTGCCCTGCTCGCTACTACGAATAGATTTAATCTGTTTACCGTTTTGAGGATGATTCTTTTAAGTAAATGAAGAAACTAAATTATAACCCAAATAGATTTTAGCGATGGGCCAATGCTGCCGGCAATGGTGTACTTACGGCCTAATACTATTATCAACGGCAGGCAGCGGCTCGGTTCTGCCCCTGGCATTGCTGACGTCCATGAGCGACGGTAACCACTAATCATCAGGTGGGCCGTATGCTCGTCTGTCTACTAGAGTAATAAAATAAAATAAAATTTTTTTAGTGTACTTTTATCATTGAAGATCTGGTGATTGAGTGAGGTAGGTACCCTCAGAGGTAGGTACCGCGGTTCTGCCTATTTCTGTACACCAGGCAGTTACGTTTTGAATGGAAGGACAGAACCTACATAGTAAATACTTACTTATATAGTAATTACTGGTGGCAGAACCTCTTGTGAGTCCGCACGGGTAGGTACCACCACCCTACTTATTTCTGCCGTGAAGCAGTAATGCGTTTCGGTTTGAAGGGTGGGGCAGCCGTTGTAACTATACTTGAGACCTTAGAACTTATATCTCAAGGTGGATGGCGCATTTACGTTGTAGATGTCTAAGGGCTCCAGTAACCACTTAACACCAGGTGGGCTGTGAGCTCGTCCACTCATCAATAAGCATAAGCAATAA